CCCCCCCCCACCGTGCCTGGTGATGCCGATCCCAGGGGACAGCCCCCAGGCTCCCGCGCCCGGTCCCCAGTCGCCCACCGCTGCCGAGGTCAACAGCCAGCTCGAGCGTCGCGCCAACATCATCCACAAGATGATGACCATGGACATCCAGATCATGGAGTCCCTGAAGGAGCTGATTGAGGAGGATGTCGAGCGCATCCTCGCAAGTACCGAACGCGGGTGCGTCCCCCCCGCCTCCCCCTCCTACGACGGCTCTCCCCGGTCGGCCCGTGTGCTCTGACTCGCTGGCCTTTTCTCCTTTTTCCTTTCCCCCTCCAACCTGTTGGCCCCTTCGCGCAGGTTTGAATCGGCCGACGAATTTTTCGCCCACTCACTGGGCGTCGAGGCCGCCCAGCTGGCCGCGGCGCTGCTCTCACTCAAGGAGGACTACGAGGGCATCCTCACGGCGTTGCTGGCGGCGCCGCGATTAAAGGAGGTCCCGGCGACCGGGAGTTCCCCCGGGTCGAGTGCCGCCCCGCCCCGGTCGCCAGCCCTCCAGAGCGAGGGGGAGCTCCTGCAGCAGCTCCAAAAGCAGATTTCCTCCATGACCTCCGAGCGGGCCTTCCTCTACCACGACCTGTGCGTGCGCGGCCTGGCTCTGCGCCCGCTCCCCCGCCCCCGCCCTCGCCCCGGCCCCGGCCCCGGCCCCGGCCCAAGTCGGTGGGTGTCCATCTAACCGCCCCCCCTCCCCACGCTGCCCCTTTTCGGCCCCTGCCCATCGCGCGGTCGCAGCGAACAATCCGAAGCCGGCCGCCGGAAGATCTCCAGCGACATGCTAGACCTGAAGAAGGCGCACAACTCCCTGCTTCGCCAGCACCAGCATGAGTTGGTCCGTGCGCGCGAGGAGCACCTTTGGGAAATGGACCAGCTGAAGAGCGATCATGAGCGGGAGATCCTGCTTCTCCAGCGCCAGCTGGAGGCCCTGACTGCGGCTACCCAATCGCTGCTTCACCCGGATCCCCACCGGCCAATGTCTCCGGAGGGCGCTTCCCAAGCCCCGATCGCCGCCAGTGCGCCGGACACGGTGGCCCCGTCATCCACCTCGGCCGGGGCCACGCCCAGCCACACCCCCCCGGGCCCCGAGGCTGAGCCCTCCCCGGGACTGCGTTCGCCCGCGACCACCCCCTCCCGGGGGGAGGGCCCCCCCATGGGCCCGGTGGCCCCGACCCGAGACGACCTCTTCTTCAGCCTGGCCTCGCAGGCGGCCACCATCCTGGAGGATGAGATCCTGCACATCTCCGACCTGAACCGCTTCGACATCATCTCCTTCATCGAGGCCACCCTGGCTCGCCCGGTGCGACTTCACCCGGCCGGCGGGGCCGCCCCGCCGGGCCCCATCATCACCGGCAGCCTGGCCCCTCGCTCGCCCTCGCCCTATGAGGGCCCCGACGGGCTGGCCGGGCTGGCCGGGCTGCATGGCCTCCCCGGCCGGCCGGGCATGGGCCCCAGCGAGGGCAGCACCTCCCCCTTGTCCATCCGAAGCACCCTGTCCGACCATTTCATCCTGACCCCCGGGCCCGAGGGGGCCCTCTTCTCCAGCCGCCGGCCCTCGCTCTCGAGCTTGGAGCTGCTCAAGGCCGACCCCTTTGTCGGGGACCTGGTCGGTCAGCCGGATGATGGAGCCGTCGACACGTCGACGGCCGTGGCACTGGCCGCGGCCGAGGCTGCTGCCGCGCTGGCCGAGAGCCGCGCCGCCGCGGCCGAGGCCGCCGCCGCCGAGGCCGCCGCCGCCGCCGGCCAACAGGCTGCCACCATCGAGGTCCAGCGTGTCATGCTGCGCATGCTCCTGACCCCGGCCGAGGTCCCTGACCCCGGGAGCTGCCTGGCCGAGCGCTTTGCCCCGGAGCACCTTCCCCACCTGTCGGCGGCGGTGCTGCACCTGGCTCGCGAGGGCATCCTCCAGGCAACCGGCCTGCCCGTGGGGCTGGGCTCCGATGACCGGCTCCTCGCCGGCTGCCATGACTTCTGCCAGGCACTGACGGCTGCCTTGCAGGCGGCCAGCTCCAGCACGGCCCCCGCGGCCGGCCCGGCTTCCGGCAAAATCGCCAGCAGCCCGGCCGCCCGGCTGGCATCCACGCCTGGCGCGTCTGCCGGGGCCAGCCCCTCCCGGTCGCCGGTGGCCGGGCTGCCGCCCTCGCCGTCGCCCTCGAGCCGGCGCTCGGCCGTCGCCCCCCTGGCGCCCCCGAGCACCCACAGTATCGGCGTGAGCTCCTCCCAGGGCACCAGCCTCGAGGACATGCCCCACCTGCTGCTCCAACACTCCGGGGCCTCCTCCCATCGGGATCTCTTCCTGGCGGGCCCGGCGGAGGCTGGCGGGTCCTCGTGCACCAGCCTCGGCTCCCTGCCGCCGGGGCTGGCCCTGGCCGAGATCCCGCCCTTCGCCGGGGCCCCCGGTAAGGCCGCCGCCGGGCCGGGGGCTGGCTCGTCCCTGGCCACCGGGCCGTCCTCGATGGCGGCGGCCGCGCTCCCGGTCAGCCCGCGGCCCCTTCGCCGTGCCCACAGCTTTGACCTGCTGCAGCCGGCCCCCGGCCACGGGCCCGACTCGCAGTCGGACTTGGAGTACTCGCAGTCGGACTTCCTGGTGGAAAGCCGCGGCACCCATGGGTCCCTGGCCAGCCTCAACGCCGGGCCCGGGCGCCCGGCCCCCGGGCTCAGCGAGCGTGCTCACTCGGATGTCACCCCGGCCGCCATGGCCCGGCTCAATGGCCTGGCCACCATCAAGCGCGTCCCCGCGTCGCAGCACCCGCGCGCCCTGCGCGCCATGCCCTCCCTCCCCCGGCCCATCATCACCCCGCTTCCGGCACAGGTGGTCGCCCAGCTGGATGACCCCAGCTCTGCCGGCATCGACCACTTGTATGAGGCTGGCCAGCTCCGGGCCGCGGCGCCGGGCCCGGAGCAGCCCCTCTCGGCCCGCGGGCCGGGCACCCCGGCGGCCTCCATGTCCGAGCTGTCCGCCTCGTGCTCGTCCTCCCGGCTGGCCGGCCTCGCGGCCGGGGCCGGCCCCAGCGGCAGCTTCGGCATCGGGACCTTCGCCCCGGCGGAGCCCAGCTCCGGCGACATGTCCGACGAGGGGGCCCTCCCCTGGACTCACGGCTCGCAGCAGAGCCTCCCCTCGCATCCCAGCCCGGATGATGGACACGGCGTCACCCACTTGCGGGAGGATGAGCCCGGGCCCCTGGCCAGTGGCGGCCGGCCCTTCGTCAAGAACCCCGGGTCGGCCTTCAGCATCGATCTCTTCGACCTGATCGAGCGCGTCAGCAGCCGGACCCTGGATGATCAGATTTACGAGACCACCGGCCGGGGCGTCGGCTTTGGCCAGTCCAATGCCCCGCCGACTCCCAATGCCCTGGAGGCGCTGATGGTGCGTGTCTCCCTCTCTTTTTCTTTCTTTCTTTCTCTCTTTCCTTCTTTCTCTCTCTCTTTCCTTCTTTCTCTCTCTCTTTCCTTCTTTCTCTCTCTCTTTCCTTCTTTCTCTCTCTCTTTCCTTCT